TTTCCCAGGGTCGTTAAAATAAAAAAAAAAAAAAGGAACAGGTTTAAAAATAAATAACACGCAGAGAAAAATCAATATAAACAAAGGATACCTCCTACCCACTTTTAGAAAGAAAATAAATTTACTCACCAATAGTCGTAATAAAATAATTCAGCACTATATTACTGTTTAAAAACAATAAAAACTTACTGACTTTCTTTAAAACACTATACACAACCTTTAGCCGCCCGCAAGCCGGAAACTAGTCGCAGAAAAACAGAAAACAATATTTAAATTGTTAGCACATGAAGTCACACGTTAGTCGCACGGTGCCGCGAAGGGAAGTAAAGTAACTATCAGTATTAATTACTATTAGAAATAAATCCTTTTTTATATTATTTGTCTTAACTCGTATTGCTCCCAATACTGATAATTGTTCACCCGACACAGACTTTAGTTTTACATTACATTTTCTTAATTGATATTCAGGAAAAATATGTGTCATAGTCCTTTTTGTGTACATAACAGACTTACAAGCTCCAGTATCAATTTGCATATTTAATCTTCTTTTTCCTAGTCACAATGTCATTCATGCCATATCCTGCTCTGAAATCTTCATGATACTTCCTAGAACTACCTCCTCCTGCTCTTCATGATGGTCACTGATCTCTTTCTCTTGTTCCACATTTTTAACATTGTTTCCTTTCATTGATAATTTAAACCGGCATTTATTTGCCAAATGCCCAAGCTTCTTGCAAACAAAACATATCCATTCTTTTTTAAAACACCTAGTAGTTAAATGAGCACCCCCACAACGTCTGCATTCTAGCTTCCCTTCCAACTTGAGATTTTGTTCTAAGTGGGGCACTTGAGCTTTGGATCCTTGCCGATATTGAGGCTTCTTTACTAAATGGATATTTCCATCTGGTCGTATGTACTTAGTGTCTCTTTCTGCACTCACAAAAGCTAAAGCCATCTGTCCCGAAGTGCTTCTTTTAAAAAAGTTTTAAATTGACAATTTGCAGCTAACCTTTTGATTTGAACAACAAAATCATTTATGGACTGATTTTCCTTCTATTATATTTTATTAGATATTGGTATCGCGCTGCAATTGCTGATTTCTTTTCATTTTAATGCCCCTTTAAAACTTCCACTAATTTAGTGTATGATAACGAGCTCGGTACCTCTGGAGACACTCAATTTTTTAATGTTTCGTAGCTTTCCGGCCCCATCAAAGTGATAAACAAGGCGATCTTCTTTTTTTCTTTTGTAACATCATTTATAAGGAAATATTGTTCCATTCTCTCGGTGTAAGCCGAAAAATTGGTACCCACGCGATAGTTTTCTACCGACCCAATCATGATTCCTTTTTTCCTCGTCGCCAATAATTTGTCTTGTAGTGAAATGCACCAATTAAATTTACTATTTATTTTTGGGTTATTATAAAGGTTTATAATTTTAATTTACTATCACTGGAAACACCAAAATCAGTTTTTGCTACTCGAGCGGGGAAAACACTCTTGTCATAATCTTTTGCCACTAACTGTCATTACTTTGACTGACAGGTATACCACACACTGCATTGCAACTTGCATTACTATTAAAGTTAAGCATCGATTCAGCTGATTCTAGAAGTGCTGGCATTTCTTTTTCTGATAAAATAAGTAAGTTTATAGGCATGTATGAGGATTTCCGCTCGGCATGGTCGTTGTTCTGGATACAGCTGTTGTTACTGCATATTTTTTTTTCGATGTGACACAAGGAAAATCATTTATTAGTATTCGATCGAATACAAAAGAGACATTGCTCATACAGTTGATGATAGTCAGATTATTTGCTGTCGATTTTTTTATAATAATATTTATTTAAAATTTTAGTTCTCATTTCGTATAAATTTCTTTGGTACTCGTTGTTAGCAACCGCTATTACAAGTTGACTAAAGTCATTATTTATTTTTGAATCAATTATTTTTTGTATATTTGGTCTATCCAAATAACCAATCACGAATGCGTGTAATACAGCGTCAAATGCACACGTGTTTTCAACTATAATATTCCTTATACCAGACGGGCTATTATTGGCATTTTGTAATAAATGGATCTTATCGTGAAAGGTTGATTTTGATGAGTTTGCTATTTTAGGTGTTTTCACAATAAGACCTTTCCAATTTTCCACTGTTACAGGACTCTCAGACATTGTGGATTCTTATGGGAAATATTCTGTAGTGGCAGTTTTAGTTATATTTTTCGTTGTTGACTTCGTCTCTGCATAATTTTGACTTACTTGTGCTTATGGAAATGTCACCCATATTGTGTTTGAGTTCTCCAGAAAGATAATCGTAATGTCTAATGATGAAATCATCCAATCTTAGTCTCTCATTAGGTCGTTTTAGAAGTTTTTTAACAGTCATGAAGTAACTTTCTACGTCTGAACTAGTGGGTGTGATAATTTATTGGCCATTACAAGAGGCAAACTGTATAATATCGTTTAATGTTGTTACAACAACAATTAATGTTTATTTATCGCCCCTTATCACCTACATAATATTATTGTTAAAGTTGTTTGTTTAAATTAAATATCTATTATTATTTTTCTTATTATTATTATTATTATTATAGATTATTAAGTGGGTAGTTGAAAGGTCAACATACAACATAAAAGCTCTTATTATTAAAAATAAAATAAAATAACTACATTTTACATAAATTTAATGAATATAATAAGTCATCAACAATAAATACCTGCTAGTCAAGTGTTATATCCTAAATTAATAACTAAATCCAAAGTGCAAAATACGTATTAATCACAGCACTACTATGAAGAATATACAGGAGTTGCAAGACTGCTTTGAGAAGAGGATGGCAAACTTTGAAGCGGAACTCTTAAAGAAAACCTCCAATGCTGCTAGCCTGGCTGGTCTCACGGAGGACTTCACTGTGTTTAAAACTCTTGTTCTTGAGACCTTGAGGTACTTCCAAAGCCAGATCGAGGTGATTGCGAATGAGGTGGACAACATAGAGACACGCAGCCGCCGCAAAATGCTTCTTCTTCAAGGTATCACAGAGAAAAAGGATGAGATCACATCTCAAGTGGTGGCCGAGGTAGCGGAACATAAATTGCATTTTGAGTCGTTTGCCCCCGAAGACATAAGCCGCTGTCACAGGATGGGTCGACAATCATCAGGTGAGAAACCAAGACCCATTCTAGTAAAATTTAGGACAGTAGCAGCTCTTTTACGCTAAAATGATTGTTCTTTTTGAAATTATTGAAAAAAAATCTACTTTTTAGTTCGGCTAGTTACTAAAGCATGTTTTTTTAGTTTTTTTGAACTATAATTTTTGATTTGCTTTTTTGTCATTAATGATGATTATTTTCTTCATTAAGACTAATAAAGTAAGAAAATTACATAGGCTTCAGCACGCGCCTCTTAGTACGTAGCAAAAGACACTACCGTATTTTTAGGTATGGAAAAAGCTGTTAATCCTGAAGATCCTAATCAGGAAAATCTGCCAAATTTATCAAACTATTGTATTGGCATCAGTGCTTCATAAGTGTGCGAAATTTATTTTGACGTTTTAAAGTGGGTCAAAATCACGTTCAAAGATTCAGTTACATACATACACACATATAACTTCGAACTTCACACATCTCACACAGGGCAGTCTGATCCCAAACTAGGCAGAGCCTGTACTATGGTAACCAGACTATTTATAAACATACTTATATAGTTCTAAATACATACATATAGGTAATAGATAAATTACACCCAGACACAGAACAAATGATAGTGCTTATTACACAATATTTGTCCTGGGTGGGAATCGAACCCACGACCTACGGCTTAGCAGTCAGGGTTACTAACCACTAGACCAACAGGTCCGTCAACATTCCAATCTAAAAAAAAGGGTTAAAATGGATAAGTTAGTGAAAAACGTATTATGTAAAGATATTTCCAGATGAATACAGTAATAATAATTGTTACAGGTTAAAAGAAGTTGCAATACAGGAAAGCAAAAACTTGAAAGACGATACATGCACTGTAGCTGTAAGTGTAGTTCAAAATATCCACTTCACCTAAAAAGAGTACTACGATCGAATATTCAAAAGATTACTAAGTAATACTACTCGTATATATACATTTCAGGCAACGTCGGATAAAAACATCTCAGAACTTATCATTGAAGAAGCAACGCGAGTTCCATTTCAGGAAATTCAAAACATACGCGATTCTATGCTTTCGGCACATGTAAGTACTGCTAACTTATTTGACCAAAAAATCTAGTAGTCTAATAGGAACGAAAAGCAACTTCATTTGAATACAATTTAAAGAAGATCACAAAGTAATAAAATAATATCATTTCAGACATCGTCTGAACGGAATACTCCACAGCTTTTTATAGAAGAAGCACAAGATAACGAAGAGTTTAAAGTAGATGGGCGCAGAGTGATTGACTTCATGTACTTTTATGAGGAGTTGCACAAAATCGCCAAACACAATTCACCTCTAGGTTGTAATTTCAGCCATTTACAACTTATAAAAGAACAAAAAAAAGGTTTCTATTCCAAATTCACTTTTCTCTGCAAAATGTGTAATATCGAGTTACATGTAATGAATTGTAAATTAAATAAAAACAGTAAAGATCTCAATCTTAACGAAACAGCAGTGTCTAGTTTTATGTCAATAGGCGCTGGTTATGTAGCGTTAGAACAGGTATCAGCTTCTCTCGGGATACCATGCATGTCAAAAAATCTTTACGTCAAATGTCATACCAAGGTTTGTGAACTTTGGGAATTAGCAAAACAGAAGAGCATGGAAGAAGCTGCAAAGGAAGAATACGATTTAGCCATACAAAACGGTGACGTAGACGCTATCGGAGTACCAATGATTACGGTAGTGGCAGACGCGTGCTGGTCTAAAAGATCCTATAGAAAAAACTATACAGCCTTATCGGGTGCTGCTGCAATTATTGGATACAGAACAAAGAAAGTCCTATATATGGCAGTAAAAAATAAGTACTGCATGATCTGTGCTAGAGCGGCGAATCGAAATACAAGAGGGGTACATGAGTCCCATAGGGAAATTTGTTGTATAAACGATACTGAGTTACCTCCTTGAAGGACAGCGGTGATAACCCTAACAGCCTGTATATATAGGTATAAAATTATGTATATGGTGTATAATATAGTGGTAACAGGACCTAATGTCTATTTTGTGCAATCAAGTAGACCACTTAAAGCGTTATTTTTATGATAAATGCAGCTGAGTGCCCCGAAATAAGAACTCGCATTATGTGTTATTGAGTAAGTAAACAGTGCCATAACATACCATAATAGAACAGTAGTGCAAACAACGCCAAACATTGCTCGCAGAAAATAGCAGAGTCAGCACAAAGCTAATGCACGAAGACCATGCGCAGCCACCGTAACACTGGTAATATGTTCAAAATAATGACAATAGTTACCTGTTGCAGATGTAGAACGTAGTAGTGCTGTTGTGTTGCCCTCATGTATGTTTCTCTCGCCTACAGTTATCATCGGCACGTCAATCATTCTTTTCAGCTCACTAGCCCCTTCATTAAAACAGACGTAGCTAGTAATCCTGTCCCATGTGAACGACGTATTGGCCACGTAGTTCGGAACATTGAAAACTATCACTCCATTACTGGTCATAAGATATGAATTATTACTCAGCTTAAAAACGGTATGAGCAGGTACAACAGCTCCCTGATGCATTCGACAAAGTGTAATGTAATTAACACTTGCAAACTCAAGCCCTGGAATTCTAAAATTACCCGGAATAACATGCTGAAACTGATTACGTACGCATTTCAATTGATAATCCTCGAAAATCCGTTCATCGATGAAATAGTTTTTCAATCTATTAAAAGCAGCTTGAACTCGACGCAAAGGAATATTTGGCTGTGTAGTGGTACGTATGCGCGTAGATTGTGAGAAGGTAAGTGAGAGTGCTGAACATGCAAATGAAACGAACTGGGTACAATTATCGGGGGTATTACTCATGGGGTTCGGAATTTCCGTTGAACCAGTAGCCAAGTGCGCGAGCATCATCGAGTACCTTGGACCATGAAATCCGTCGATTGGACGCACCAACGCCATGGTAACGTCGCTCAAGAGCGTGCTAAACGATGCGATCTGCTCAATGAACATTTTGCCTTTAAAAAAAAAAAAAAAATGTAGATGTAGAACGTCTGACGATGTTGAAACACGGAAATGTAGGAATCGCCTTCAACAATAATCTACATATGCCTACAGTGATGTTACACGTCATTATACTTACTATCAGCGCATATACTTTTTCCAGTTAATGATTGCATTAATGCCTCTGTAAATTCTTTTTTTGAAACCTTCTTATCACATTTCACGTTGTATGTGATCCACGCATACATTTATACCATACATTTATATAGTAATGTAATGTAGTGAAAATTATTACTAATAAATAAATATAATATGAAGACGTTACTTATCATTTTGCAATGAAAGATTTTCTACCTGCCCTAGGTTTTAATTTCTTGTCCGAATTTTTGTTCTTCTTGTTACCCACATTTTATTGAAGTCAACAAAAAAGCTAATAAAATAAAAGGAATAATTATATTAAAATTAACTTATAAGTATTCTGTTGAAGCTTTGTGAAAACGAATTTTACGTATTTGCGCGGGGGAATTTCACGGAGCAAAATGACGTGCGTCCGTCCTCAAACAAGGCTCAGCGAGCTCTGACAGGCGAACTTCGCCGCCGTAAGCAAGCGCAAAAACATATTTTTTGGTTTCTTTTTTTATAAGTACAACTATGTGAAAATGTATCCTTACAAATCCCTAAAAAAAAATAAGCTCTATTTTTTGGTATAATTTTTACGTGAATCCATGGTGGCATTTTACAACAATTTCTATTTGAAATCGTAAGTTAGTGCTATGTTTGTGATTTTTTTTTATTGAGCCAAATTCCATAAATCATGTTTCCATCTTTACAGATCTTTAGATTATATGTTTAATTTTTATAAAATATTTATTTTCATGCACAATAAATGCATATTAGGGTATTTATTTCTCTTCAAAAAAGTGCAAAATCGCTGCAACCTTGCCTTAATAATTAGTTCTTTATCTAATTAACTAAAATACTAAGTAAAAAGTAGATATGCATTTGACACATTATTTAAACAACATAGTTAAGACATACCCTCTGACCATCTGACCACTTTAGAAAAAAGAGATATTTATATAAAATAATAACTAATACCATTTTGGATATATCGTAACGTAAAATAAAGATAATAGAAATCAGAACTAAATTATTAGAATTTCTTTTTACTTATGTAAAATGAACGTAAAAAAATTAGAGCATCCAAAGTTTTGTCGAACGAAATCTATTGCAGACAATTCCAGCCAAAGAAAATATACGCTCTGGCTCGACGCTAATAGGTGGAATAGTTTTTAAATGTTCATATACCAGCGATAGGTAACGCCCTCGCTGTCGCGTACCGCCATTCTCGAAGAGTGCCATTTCTACCCTCACAGTAGTAAGCAAATCGTTTGATGGACAAGCTGATTCAGTTTCAGGAGCAGTATTATCAGTAGCAACAGCTTGACTTAACTGTCTGTTCAGTTCCTCTTCATTTGTGAAAGTAGACAACTGAATGTCAATTTCTCGCAGGTCTTGGTCTCAACTCAACTCCTCCAATTTTCTTCTGATTTATTTCGTTGCGGGTTCCAAGACAGTTTAATTTCTTCTTTCTTCCTGGGACTTCCCGAGTGTCATAACTCGGTGTGTTCGCGGGTCACTGCTGTGGATCCTGGTGTACAGGAGTTACAGTGGTGGGCGTGTGGGTGGGATTAGTCGCAAAAAAAAGGTCTTGGTCTGGCGCTGGCAAATTTTCAAGAGGTATATTTTGTTTTTGGTTGTGCGTTTAATCAAATTAACAATTTCGTTTACCATTTCATCACCTGTAGGCCGATAAAAAAGCCGATAAAAAATAGTGTGTCAACTTAGTTTTCTTTTTTGGCGCTTCGGGAATTTATTTTGAAGAAGATGCACTACCTTGAGCTGTTGTTTCGATTGTTGAATGCCTTGCAGCCTCTATATCAACCGTGTGAATATTCTTTAAATGTCTTCGTAGACTGCTAGTACTACCACCGGCTGATTTCAATACTTTTTGGCATGTTTTACATTTAGCTTCATTTTTGTTTTTGTTTCTGAGAAAGTAGTGCCAAACAAACCAAAGTAGTGGTCAACGAAGGGGATTCATGTGAAAGGAAACATAGTTTTATTATTATAATAGCAATCGTATTTTTTCACGATGTAATGCTTGCAGGCAACGGCTGCGAGGCCGTACCTATTCATAGTTAGTTAGCGCTAGTATTACATTAAAAATAGTATTAATTCAAATACACCTAAAAGTAGCGCGACGAGTGGCGGACGACATCACGTCAATATATCAAATAATTGGATTCACATCAACAGCCTTTAATAGTCCACTGCTGGACATAGACCTCTCCTTAGAAAGAAGGTTTTGGCCTACTATACCACGCTGGCCAGGCGGGTTGGTGTAGGGTTTGTGTCAAGTTTTCCGTCTTTTTGCAGTGCTGGTGTCCTGCGTTGTTTTGCGCCCTTAGTCGGTTCTTACGACACCCACGGGATGAATTGGGGTAGTGACATTCCGTATTCTTAATCCGTCACTACACGGACAATAACTGGATTAGTTATATTAGAATCCTAGAACAACAAGCTAAAACTGTAAGTTACGTTTTATTGAATAACAAAATTAATTTAGTAGATACTCATCTATAAAGAGCGTCACCAAACACTACATATAACACTCCTCACGTTCACACCGCCCGCGCGGGCGCGTCGAATACTTATGGCAGACTGACTGAACAAAATGGCGGAGGTATTCATCACCCGCGCAACGCGTGACGAGCTTCGCTTCACCCTCCCCTCTCCACTGCTCCACAGTTCATCCCATTCATGTCCTGAGATGGACGCGCGCGTTCCATTTAACTTGCATGGCTTGTTTTATTGGTAGGAACGTAGCAACGAAGCTACTTTTTACGTAATAAATAAATACGTAATTTATCAAAGCGTGTTTTTATTCCATTTACTTATTATTGCATTCGAAGTGGCTTAAACTAAATAAATAACAAAAACAAAAGTACGTATTAATAAAAAAACGAAAAACCCGGGTTTTTTTTGTAATCCTCAGAACCGGGAAAACCCGGGTTTTTTCGGTCCGGGTAAACCCGGGCTCGATGCCCTAATTACACCATAAAATGTCTAATCTAGTGATAGTGGTCTCAGCTGTGGGCTATAAACAAAATTGTACCTACAATATCAGAGAAACGATAAACTTTCATTTCAATTGTTTGCTATTCCAGTCCAGATAAATTACCCTTCTTTATAATATCGACTCACAGATTTTATTAATCATTGTTATTTCTTTTAATTTGTTTATAGAAGAAAATAAAGATCTATACTAGGCTAGTATAGATCTTTTTGTAGTATTAAACAAACAATTTTTAATAAGACTTGAAATGGAAGAACTGAAGCCAATATTTATATACAGTAACTATAAGTTATTGGTTTCTAAGTAAAGTATTTTATAACTGTGTGAATTGTAAATACAAAGTATTAGATTACTGAATAATCCTTTCTCTTCTTTCATTTAGTATATAGTATTAGGCTAGTATTCAATCTTTTTGTAGTATTAAACAAACCCTATTTTAATTTAGACTTGAAATGTAAAACCTGATACCAATATTTATATACAGTAACTGTAGGTTATTGGTTTCTAAGTATTTACTGATTGAATTGCAAAAACAAAGTATTAGATTACTGAATACTCCTTCCTACTTACCTATCGTGCACATCACCACCAAATTATGGTTGTTTGTGTTTTAATAAAAATAATACTAAACTTGTTTATAATAATAAAGCTGTTTTATTAATAATTTAATATCTAAATACATTATATATACAACATAAAATTAACTTGACATTTTACAAAAAATACTATCAATAACTTATTATTCATATTTATATAAGATAAATTATTTATAGAGAACATAAAAAGTTTTTAATTATAATTACGATGTAAATTATAATCTTATTAAAGCTTAAAATAATCTTATTATTGTATTGTTGTCTTCATTATTTTTAAAACAATATGTAGGTCTTCTTCAGTTTATTGTTGAGTTTATTTTACATTTATTGTAAGTATTAATATTATATTATAAATCTAAGGATTCATGCTACGTGTTGCTTCTTGGGTTGATGCGACAAGAGGGGGGGTTGACATAAAGCACATTTGACATTTGTCAATCATAGACAAGGTAACGTTCCGTTACTACATCATCCCCTTTTACAAATATTAAAAAAATGAAACATTCAAACATTCTGCCCCTTAAACAAATTATTAACATTAAACTGCTTTTAACAAAAAATAAGAACAAACTTCTGTTATTACAATAACTCCATCATCCCCTTTTACAAAATAACAATCTTAAATACTAAAGTACTATAGTATTAGGATATTACATCAGTCTTAATTACTACAATATTAAGTTACACTGCAATCACACACTCAACCAGCAAGCCCCTCCTCTGGTGAACCACAAAGTCTACGCTGGTCGAATAAAGAAAGAGGTTCTGGTATAATTTACATTATTGTTATCCCTAATGTTAAAAGACCTATTACCATTATAACTAACAATTCTACCTTGTAACCATACATTCTTTTGTGGCTCTTTTTTAAACCATATATTTTGACCAACATTAAATTCTTTTTTCCACCTGTGAGAAATGTTTCTCTGACTGAGTTAAACTACGAGATGCAAAGCTAACTGGTTTGTTATTTTGTAATAAACAACAACCAATGCCATCCTTGGATGCGTCACATTGTACTACAATCGGTAACTTACTATTAAAATTCTGTAAGATTGGAGCTTCAGTAATTTTTTTCTTAAGATTATTATAAACATTTTCATGAACTTCTGTCCACAGCCACTCCACATCCTTTTTAAGCAATAAATGTAATGGTGAGGCTATATCAGCCATATTAGGAATAAACTTTCTTAAATAACTGACCATTCCAAGAAAAATTTGTAATTGTTTTTTATTAGTTGGACTTTTCATATTTAATATTGCATTTACCCTAT